GGGATTTGATTTTTTTCTTTTTTGTGTTTTTGAAACAAGGTCTCACTATGCAGTTCAGGCTGGCCTTGAGCTTACTTTGTAGCCCAGGTTGGTCTTGAACTTGCAGCGATCCTCCTTCCTCAGTCTTCCAAGTGCTGGGATTACAGGCGTGTGCCACCACGCTGGTTTGTGTCTTTTAAATGATCCAGAATCATCACTTCGTTTTTTGTGCTGTTATAGTCTTCAGTTCTCTTTCTAGCTCTCAAGCTATCAAGTCTCATGGTTTATTACTATTACTATTAGCATTTGAATTCTTCAACATGGAGTACTGTGTGGTTAGAAAAAACAAAACTGTGAGTGTTTTGCATTCTGTTTTTAGTTACCTGGTGGGAGACGAGTTGTTTGTAGTCATGGAGTACTTGGCTGGTGGGTCACTCACAGATGTTGTAACAGAAACATGCATGGATGAAGCTCAGATTGCTGCTGTGTGCAGAGAGGTGAGTTTGATTCTTGTGGAACAACTTCTGCTATGGATAGCAAGAGGTGCAAAGAAGGAAAGCTTTTCTGTGCAGGAAATTTTTATTGTGTGAGATACTTTGTACACATTCTCTGCAAGTTGTCCTACACCCTTTTCTCCCTTTCTTTATGTGTAAGAGAGTTTAAGAATAAGGCATGGACCTTTAAAGAGCCAAGTTCACAGGCGAATCTCAGGAAGATGATCATAAGCTTACCATCCATTCAGGATACTTTTGAGAGTAAAAAGTTCTCGAACACTCAGCGGTGGAAACCCGAACCATCCCAGGCAAAGCAAGACATGTAGGAGTATTCCCCTTAAGTACTAGTAAGTCTCTGTCTACCTGTATTGAGTCACTGAAGATGGAAAAACTCCTTTCTTTATACTTACTAGTGAAATTCAACCCTTGCTCTTTGCTTAAGACGGTAGAATTTTGCTAAACTCTCTGAATCTAAGCCAAAAACAAGTTTTCCTTCAATCTGCATCTTTTTCTACAGATGAGACTAAGGTTAATGGTTTTGCTGTTGTCACTGAAACTGACATAAGTATCATAAGAATCATTGTTACAAAAGACAAAATTGTTGGGGCTGGGGCTGTAGCTCAGTGGTAGAGTGCTTGCCTAGCATGTACAAGGCCCTGAGTTCAATCCCCAGTACTACCAAAAAAAAAATAAATAAATAAACACAAAAGACAAAATGTTAAAAAGTTCATAAGCCTGTTTTCTATGATTTGGCTTTCAGCACTTGTGTAGTAATACATAAGTGAATTATAGGTTTTGCTCTATGATTTTTTTTTTTAGCGTTTATTAAAATGTTACAAAGATTTTTTTTGTTGGTTTGGTTTGGTTTTTTTGGAGGATACAAGGTTTGTCTCTGTAGTCAGGCTAGCCTAGCACTCCTTACATAGCCCACAATCCCCCTCTGCCTCCCATACTGGAATTAGGCATTTGCCACCATGCCTGGCTTGCAATTTTTAATTTTGAGTTACTTACACTTTACCTAAGGGATAGCATAGTTTTGATTGGAGGAAGGAAATAATTTCTTAATAGTTCTGAATCCAATATCCTTTAATGAAATATACTAGGTCACTTAAAAAAATGGATCAAAACTTAAGAATTTGTCTATACTTCATTTTTTTAATAGTTTTTTTCGGGGCTGGGGATATAGCTCAGTGGTATAAGTGCCTGCCTAGCAAGCGCAAGTTCCTGAGTTCGATTCCCAGTACTGCAAAGAAAAAAAAAAAGTTTTTTTCATATTTGATATAAAAATTTATTTTAGGAGTTCTAATTGCTATTCCCTTGTGTTTTCTTCCATATGCTAGAATTTTAAAATTGTGCTCTTTGTTTCTACTTACTTGTAGAAGTATTATTTTGGGGTTTTATTATATTTAAGAATCTGATTTTTTAAAAAAAAAAAGAATCTGATTATACTTACCTGGCAGGATACCATGGTCAAGAATCTGATTAAATGCCTGGTAAATATAATATAATAATATTCAGTAAAATCTGTTTTTTCCTTGAATAAGTAGAATGGTAATTTGAATGAGATTTTTAGTTGTTATAATGGTATACAGAGTTCATTTGTTGTTCATTTCTCATGGGAATAATAAATTAAAATACAGCTAACTTTTTCCAAATTTATACTCTCAGTATATTGGTTCAGAAACACTGGAGCAGTGTGACATGGGGTCACACACCAGGCATTCCAGCATTCTGGGCGACTGAGGCAGGAAGATTGCAAGTTTGAGGCCCCGGAATTCAAGGCCAGCCTGTCTGAAAAGAAAAAACAGTCAAGGCACAGGAAAGACTAGATGAGCCATTATTTAATATTGTTTCTGGCTGGGCGTGGTAGCACACACCTGAAATCGCAGCACTCGGGAGGCTGAGGCAGGGGGATCATTTGGAGTTTGAGGCCAGCCTGGGCTACATAAGTGAGGTATTTGTTTTTTGTTTTTTGCTTTTTTTTTTGGTACCTGGAATCGAACTCAGGACCTTGTGCTTGCCAGGCAGGTGCTCTTGCCGCTGAGCTATATCCCCGGCCTTACATAAGTGAGTTCAAGGCCAGTCTGAATAGCATAGTAAAACCTTGTCTCAAAAAGACCAAAAAAAAAAAAAGTGTTTCTGGATGAGTTCAGGGCATGGGAAAGGATCTTCTTGCTAATTGGGGCATTTTGTTTTCTTAACTTTGCATATGAGGTAGTTTTTTTTCCTTTATAAATGTTAAGTATTGGAAGGTCTTCTCCTGTGGACTGGAAACTTTTGAGAACTGTTTTATTGATAGGTGTTTCCTTCTGTCCAGTGTTTACAGGCATTGGAGTTTTTACATGCTAATCAAGTGATCCACAGAGACATCAAAAGTGACAATGTGCTTTTGGGAATGGAAGGATCGGTTAAACTTAGTGAGTAACAATTGAAGAGATAACATTAATTTGTTACTTGTTTGTTTCTTATTATAACTCCCTGTCTTTTATTCAATTAACCTCTTGTATTAAACTTTTTATGATTTAGTATGTGGAGAGGAAGGGAATCTAGTGGTAAAGAATATGGATTATGAACTGGACAGCCTGGTTTAAATAGCAGACCTACTATTGCTTGCTGAATAATTTTGGGCAAGTTACTTCCTTTCATTGGGTCTGTTTTCTCATTCACCAAGGCTAATAATAGTTCCTATCATAATTTTTTAGAGGTTAAAGATGCAAAATACTGAGGGAACACTACCTGGGACTATCAGAAAACTGGTTGTCTTAGGAATAAGCTTGACTTTGTTTCTGCCATCTGTTTTTTGTGCCTTACTCTTCAGTTTTCTTTGAATTTTATAGAGCATGGCCTCAAGGGGAAGCTTTATGATCCTGACCTCTGGTTGACAAGAATAAAATCCGCTTTAAATTCTAATGATCTTTCTTATCAGGCAGAGTGGAATCCTGAGAAGAATCCTGAACTTGTTTTCTTTGTGGTCATTATCCCTCAGTTCCAACTTTTCCCCTTGGGGGAGTAGAGCAGAACCACTACTGAAATTCCTCTTTAACTCTGCAAAATCAAAGGCATTTGTTTGATCAAGATACCAGGGGGTCACGGCCTTGCTCCCCCTGGGCAAGGGAAGTGCCCTGTCCTCCGCGCGTGCGCGTGGGCCCTGACGTGCTCATGGGTCCACGATTGGACGCTGCGGGAACAGAGGCAGGAGCAGTGGGCGGGACGGCCAGCACCTACTGTGCCACCTTCAAGTAAGGGCATCCGGCTTTCAGAAAATGTGGTTGATCTTTCAGAAAATGTGATTGATCGAATGAAGGAGCCCTCTCCATCTGGTTCGAAGTCTCAGTGGTATTCTGGTATTTATGGTGCCTCAGTTTCTGATGAAGAATTGAAAAGAAGAGTGGCTAAAGAACTGGCATTGGAGCAAGCCAAGAAGGAATCTGAGAATCAGAAACGACTAAAGCAAGGGACAGACCTGGACCGAGAGAGAGGGCTGCCGCCAATGAGCAGTTAACTAGAGCTCTTCTTGGAGAGAGGGTGTCGAATGAGGAGGAGCGCACAGAGGCAAAGCACCTGGCTGAGCAGCTGGAAGAGAAAGACAGAACGATAAAGAAGCAGGGTGCGTTCTACAAAGAGCTGCTGGCTAGACTAGAGAAGAGGAGCTCGGAGTTTTACAAAGTCACCGCTGAACAATATCAGAAAGCTGCTGAAGAAGTAGAAGCAAACTTCAGGCGGTATGAGTACCATCCGGTCTGTGCTGATCTGCAGGCCAAAATCCTCCAGTGTTGCCGTGAGAACACCCACCAGACCCTCAGCTGCTCCGCTCTGGCTAACCAGTACACACACTGTGTCAGTCATGCCAAACAGAGCATGCTGGAAAAGGGAGGATAAAGTCCACTTTAGAACATGAAAAATTCCTCCAACTCTAATTCCAGAAGCGGAATGCTTTTTTTCCGAGTAAGAAAATAGTGCACTTAAAGAGAAGACCACTAAAGAGAAGCTCCAGAAAATGAACTCAGCGGAATCATACCATGCTTTGATCAACAACAGTTTGAGAAGCCAAGGTCTAGATGAGGAATCAGTCATCAAAGGACACTGTTCTGTACCAGTAAATTCAATTTATGAAAAAATGGAAGAGAAGGGCGGTGCTCTCAAAAAAAAGAAGAGAAAAGAAAAGAAACCAAACATTTGTTTTTGTAATTTCCTGAAGGGCTTGACACCTTTTTCAGTCTGTCTGTCTTTCTCCTTTTTAAATTATATCCTCTAAAGGTTATTTAGTCAAATGGTCAAAATATAAGATTTCTGTTGTTTAAATAATCTTAGCAAGAGAGTTGGAAATAGACATTCACCTACATTTTTAGTTAGATACACATGAGAATTGAATTAGATTCTTTTGGACAGCATTTCTTCCTGGCTCTGCCGCTTAGTAGGTGAATGCTCATGGGTAAATTATCTAAAAAGATAACTGACTCAGTTTTGCCACTTATAAAATGAGTATAATTTTAAGAAATAGACTGGGGCTGTGGTTTTAGATCAGTGTAGAGCACTTGCTTAGCATATAGGAGGAGGTCCTGGGTTTAATTCCCAGCACCAGAGAAAAATTAAAAAATAATACTGCTCCTAAGGTACTTAGAGCAATACATGGCTTGTTACAAGCACTCATTTTCTATATAAATATTATTTTACCTAAAAATTGCTCCTCTGTTATTCTCTACTTGCAGAGTTACTGAGTTGATATACTGTAGTCAGTACACGGGTATCTGCAACATTATAAAGAAAATCTAAAACTGTCTTAAATGTTGAGGAGTACAGGAATGACAGTAATTTAATATTTTTATGTAGTATATTTTGTAGTTTTAAAAACAGGGCAGATAAACACTAAAATGGAAAGATCTCTAAAATTGGTTGTAGGAAAATGCTACAAAATATCCTAGTCAAATAAACCAAACCAAACAGTTCATAGATACTATTCACCTTACTTAATGCATAATGAAATCTAAAGCTTACAAGCTTAATTACTAATATTGTCTACATAGAAGTCAAATGGATTTAACAGTGGGAGGGAAGAAGTGATTCTAAATTCTGATTCTGATTTCCTTACCAGGTTAACACTGGGCACTACGTAGGCATCCTTTCCCCTGGTTAGACCAGGGAGGGTAGCGGGGAGGTGAGGTGGGTGGAGTAGATGAATGCTAGTGAGCCTGTACATCATAGTAGTCAGGTGTGTTCTTTTTCTAGGCGCTCTACTAAGTTGGGTGCTTAATGCATTTACTTTGTTTATTTTATTCAACATAGGTTTCATGTCCTGACCTCTCCCTAATCCACTGTGTTTGGTTTTGGTGTTCCTCTTCGGTCATTTTTTTTCTTTTCATATCTTTTTCAGTTTTATTAAACTTTTGGGAGCAGAATGAATTACTCACAATAAGAGTCTCCCCTAGTAACTGACTCTTTAAAGTAATATCAAAGTATTTTAAATGCATTCTGTTAAAAGACTGAATAGTCAGAATGTAATTATGTTATCTGAAGTGAATTCTTTGGATTAAGCCATCCTTGAAATTTGTAATTCTAGATGTTGTATTTTGTTTTGTTCCGTAGCCGACTTTGGGTTCTGTGCCCAAATCACCCCTGAGCAGAGCAAACGCAGCACCATGGTTGGGACCCCTTACTGGATGGCACCTGAGGTGGTCACCCGGAAAGCGTACGGCCCCAAAGTGGACATATGGTCTCTGGGCATCATGGCTATTGAGATGGTCGAAGGAGAGCCTCCATACCTCAATGAGAACCCCTTGCGGGTAAGGACATTAACAGCAGCTGCACTGTGAGGAGAACGCTTTTCCTAAACATTCCGGTCTGCCTGGAATGAGCCAAGAATTTAGAATAGAAAGGTGATAAAACCTGACCTCTGCCCTTATTGTCCATCTAAAAATCATACGGCTCCTGAGTTATAGAACTGAAAACGTTAGCTAAAGAGTTTGTAGGTGTTTTGTTTTGTGTAATGGCCAAAGTGTATATAATGGCTGCATTCATCATGGGGAGCTGGTACATGACACCTCTTCTTTTTCCCGTCCCTCCCTCCCCCCCTCCCTCCATCTTCTGGACCCCCCTCCTCTCTTGCAGGGGGCAGGGTATACATATTTGTACTATCTAATGATCACCTTGCTCTTAGGGACTTGGCACATGTACACAACATATCGCAGTTTTTGTTTTGTTTAATTCTGTTTCCATCCCCTCCCTCCAACCTTCCTCTGTCTCTTGGTTCCCTTTCTGTATGCTAAAGATATGTTTTGCTGTTTCCTGTTGTCTTTTATTTTACTCTTTATTTCCACTTTGGGTTTTTCATACAGAACAGAAGCCATGTGATACTTCAGCTTGTGTGTCTGATTTATTTCATTTGAAATGAAGCTTGGAGGTGCGTCCTTTTTCCTACAAAGGACTCAAGTTTATCCTTTACGGTAGAGTAGTGCACTACTGTGTGTAAACACCACATATTTCAATCCATTTTTCTGTTGGTGGACATAGAGACTGCTTCTGAGATTTAGGTGTTGTGCTGGAGTTTGTAGATTTTTAATAGCTGCATGGTTTATTTTGTAGTGTTCTTACTTATTCATAGTACTATTGAACCTAAGCCCTTGCACTGAGCTATATCCCTGCCCTTCCCCCCATTTTTTAGAGACAGGGTCTCATTATGTAGTACAGGCTGGCCTGGAACTCAAGGTGGTCCTCATGCCTCAGCCTGCCAGATACTAGGATTAGAAGTGTGTCATCATGCCCAGCTAGTTAATGTTAACTGGAGTACCTGCCCTGTGCCAGGTACTGTTCAAAGTGCTGCCTAAGAAAATCAACAAAAACTCCTGTCCTCATGAACTTAATATTCTAGTGGTAGGAGAGAGACTATAAAATAAATAGGAATACTGTGAATGTTTTAAGTGATGGACTCCTAAGTGCTGAGTCTGGCATGCAAAGAGCCAGGAGGTTCGCTTCAAAAGGATAGTTGGGAGAGGGTCGCTGAATCAGGCATTTGTACACAGGAGGTGAGAGAGCAAAGCTTACCAGGGAAGAGTATTACAGCAGGAGGAGCAGCAAGTGTAGAAGCCCTGCAGCAGGAGTGTTCTGGTACATTTGAAGATCATGAACAGCTTTCAGTATTACTTGAGTATACTGAGCAGACAGTGGGCAGGAAGGTGAATCCCTGAAGAAGTGAAGCAGTGGGTGGTGCCGTGGCAGCGTTTGGAAGAACTCTCACTTTCACCCAGATAAGGTGAGGGAGCCATTGGATAGTTTTGAAGAGAAAAGTAAAGTGTTTTACCCTTTTTTTTTTTTTTTTCTTTTTTTCCTTCAGTCCTGGGGATTGAACCCTGGGTCTTTGTATTGAGCTATAGCCACTCTCACTCTTTTTTATTGGTCGGGCGGGGGATCTGCTAAATTGCCCAAGCTGGGCAGCTGTTACCACAAAGGGGGAAAGAGGAAGAGGAGGAGACTCCGGGATCTGATAAAGGACACTCACCTTGTTGCGGTGCCTTGCCTATGTTGAAGGTGTTACTCTGTTTCCAGGCTTTGTACCTGATAGCAACTAATGGAACGCCAGAACTCCAGAATCCAGAAAAACTTTCTCCAATATTTCGGGATTTCTTAAATCGATGTTTGGAAATGGATGTGGAGAAAAGGGGTTCAGCCAAAGAATTGTTACAGGTAAATTTGGAAATGATGCAGTTGTTGGGAAAGTTGATTTTTTTGAGTAAGCAACAGAAAGTTTTCATAATGTTAATTGTGTTGCACTATTCATTGACCACCAGGAATAAGGTAGCTGCTGTACTTTTAGGGCTATAACTACTGGGAATGAAATTCATTAATACCATAATTATAATTTCTGCATATCATTCTTGACCTGTTTGGTGTTGGCATGAATATATTTATAGGCTATTTAAGTGTAGATTGTATGAAATCAGAAACACTAAAAAGCCTGCTACCAACTATAAAACTGATACACTGCTGAGCATGGTGGCACATGCCTGTAATCCCAGCACTAGGGAGGCTGAGGCAGGAGGATTGCATAAGTTTGAGGCCAGCCTGGGCTACATAGTGAAACACTGCCTAAAAAAAAAATGATACACTGATTATGAGGATTCTGGTCAGGCATTGAAATAATATATTTAGTTTGTTCAATTAAGATCAAAAGTAGCATATGAGGCCTACTTAAAAGAAACTGATGACTGTTACTCGTTGTCCTCCCCTGTTCTGGCAGCACCCCTTCCTGAAACTGGCCAAGCCATTATCGAGCCTGACGCCACTGATCATGGCGGCAAAGGAAGCGATGAAGAGCAACCGTTAGCGCCCCAGCTGAGGCCCTGCACTCTTCTCCATTTTTCTAAAGAAGTCTTTTAATATATGAAAACGAGTACTCTTTTGGGGGTTTAAAGAGATGGTCTGCGTGACATGGAGGAAAAACACAAACTAGTCCCTGAAGACAACCAAGAGAAAATTGCAAAAAGAGAATTATGACTTTCAAACGAACCCCTTCTTTAGGGTCCAAAAGAAGTGGTGGACTAAATCACTGCTTACATCTTGCAGCAGACAGCCTAGCAGGCCATTTATCATGCTATTTGCATTCTATTTTGCTGACTTTGTTAGAGTAGATCCTGTTCGTTGTCTCCTTTGGGGTGTTTTCAATACTTGAATGGCAGATTCGAGTTTTTTCAGAGTGTTTGTTTCATCTGCTGGTCTTCTGTTCTCCTTCATAGCTTTCCTTTTCTTTGACTTGCTCCGTTTGACTTGCTTTGAGAAGTTTTTCTCCTGCCTAAATTCAAAGCAAGTGTGATAGAAATTATGTAGCTCTTTATATTGACAAAGGAGATTGATACGGTTTAACCTTTTTTAGAAGTTAGGACCAGCTATTGTTACCTGTAATATTTTGGCTCAGAACTTGAACTGAAGGAAGGGGAAGAAAAACATGTAATTTTTACTTTTTTTAACAAATGTGAAAGAGTCATTTTTAGAAATTTCATGGTAGTGAGTTTGGCATTTGTTACATGTATAGAAAGACTAATAATCTATATTTATAACTAAATCATTGAACCAGAAAAAGAATTCCATGGACTGTACATCCTTACAATTTTGTCTTCTTTTTCAACCTGTTTCTTCTTCAGATTTGGCTTCTGGAACCAAAGTTATTTGTTCTTGCTCCAACTTGGGCCTTATGACTCTGTTTGGTGCCTCTACCTGCCCTTGCCCTTGTCTTGGAAATATGTTTCTGTATATGTTGCAACTTCAGGTGTTTTTGTTTTGATTAACCCTCTCTCACTTCACACAAACTCCTGTACTCCCTGTGGAAATAATACAATAACCATTGAATTTTCAGAACTTAAAAGTTAACTTTTCTTTTCCCTTTTAAAAGGAGAAATATTTGGGGCTAGCAAAAACAAAACAAGAGACTTGAACCCTGGTGAGTTCTAAAATAGAATCATGAGCGAAGTGTCAGTATTGTAGACATGCAGCCGATGACTGGCAAACTGTAAGAATTGGTCATAGGTTCCAATGTTACTAGCCCAGTACTATTAGGACTTAAAGTGGATGGATTTATGGGTCATTTGCGATGTTGAATTATTTTAGTTTTTGTTTATGTTTTTTCAAATAAGTGGAGAGTATTCATGTAAAAAAAACTGGAAAAAAGAAAAATGAAATGTTCTTATTGATAGTAATACTTTTTATTTTAAAGATTTAATAAAAGGTCTGTGACCTGTAGCGTTAATTATTAGAGTACCCGCTCTTCTCCCCTCCCCTCCCCTCTTGTTTTTCTTTCCTCTCTGCTCTTCTCCCGTTTTTGTTGTTGCCATTGTTTTGCTTTTGTAGGAGGTACTGTCCCTGCTGACATGCCGCCTGTGGTTGGTTCTGGCATTTTGTCCCCACTGTCTGCCGCTGAACTTCACACCTGCTGGACACTCTGCAGTAGTATAAATTGTGAATTAAAATAATTTCGCTATTTTGGAGAATATTGAGAAAACTAGCAGGGTTTTATTTTGTTATTTTGCATCATATCTGTGGTAAGATACTGGCCTGAGGAGAAATGGCTGTTTTTTATTGCTATTGCAGAGAGGTTTTCAGAAAAATTATTATAATAATGAGTGAAACTTCGTGACTAGAGCACTTAATGGCCTCTGTTTTCAATCTTGGTTCTCGATTTCATTTTTCTCTGGACTATATTTGGCCTTCTACAGCCATCCCTGAATTACAGAAACAAGCTGTTCGGTTTCCAGTGAGGCTCTGGTGCCTCTTGAGTTCTGGATTTGCACACCCTTTGTCAGCTGTTGTCTAGCTGGATGATGATGAAGAAGATGCTGCCATGAAATAGCAACCAGCCAGACGAGGAGACTGAGCCTCCTGACCGCCCAAGAAGGCACGTCCATCCTGTGCTCGGAAACCAGGCCCAGGGCGCCCGTGCTGATGCCCCGCGCTACGCCCTGACTACACACGGGGTTTTTCTGTTGATAGAAGCAGTTGGGGTTTGTACTTGCCACTTCTTTGATGGTTACCTGCATGTCCATTGCTGGCAACGGACTTTGTCATTAAAACCTGACTCCTAGGTTAAGGGAGCTGCACTGTGGTTATTCTCTACTTACCTGGATAAACTAACCTGTCATAGAAATATACTTTGTTAATTCTGAACTGTGTGGTTTTTAAACAAAGTAATCTTAAGAGCAATACAGAATTGTGATTTATTAATTTTAAATTAAAATGTTCAGATCTTGTTGAAAGAACAATTATATCTGAATCAAGATTGATGGTTTTTTAATGATTGCCTTTTGTACTCACCCTTTTGGTCATTACTTTAGAATTTCTATTTAAATCTGAAAGTTACCTTAGTATTCCTCTTGTATTATTAAGACAATGTTAGTATAGGACTTATTTATTATTTTTGTAGACTTTCTGGTGGTCCTAAAGTTATCTTTTCCTCTTGTTCCTTTTGCTGCTATTAGGGAACTGTTAAAACTGGGAAACCATGGAAATACTGAGCATTTTATCCCACCTAGAATAGGAAACAAGTATAGAGCAGCTGTGGCCTAAGACACATGGCTATCAAGTTCTGACTTCCTGTGTTGAGTGCCTGGCACCAAACATGAATTCTCTTCCCTTCAACATAGATAATAAGCTGCTTAAAACTTACCTAGTAACCACCAGACTTAAACCTGTGCCTTTAATAAGCAGTTATAAACTACCTACCTATGAGTATTTCTCCTTAGGACTCACTTAAAACCACATTTGTTCATACATACTGTATTCTAGCCAGAATAATTTTAGATCTGACCGGGCAGTAACTATAGTTTAAAAAAAAGTTGGACCTTAAAGAATTTGTATCAGTTATTGAATCTAACATTTTTTAAATATATTGAGACCCATGTCCAGTAAAATGTCAGTGTGTTGCTAATTATACCTAAAATAGAACCAAATACTAATTTTATAGTGGAATTTCATAGTAATACAAAAGGCAGGTGTCTACCTTGTCTCCACAGCTCCTACAATAGATACTTAAGCAGTTAAAGTCAGTTTTTCTGTAGCATGTGCATACACATGTGCAGTAAAGAAATACACGCACACACATACACACACACACACACACACACACACACACACACACGCTTTTTTCCCTCACACAACACATTTCTTCAGCGTTAGCAGAGGTGCTCTGTTTCATGCCACTGGAGCCAGAGAGAGGAGTCAGCCATTGGCCTGGCCTTGAAAGGACTGAAGTCTTTCTCACACACCATGCTAGAGCAATTCCATGAGGACGGGCAGAAGGACATGTATGATAAGCCTGTCAGCTTTTCATTATATGTTACAAAAAAGAATTGTGTTTTAAATTCAGCATCTTTGTTTGGAATGTGTTGCCCCCTGCCCTTGTTGTGCTAGATAGAAATGCAGTTAAGTGAAAATTTTATATTTTTTTTCTATTAGTTTAAATCCATTCAATTATTTAATTGTTGCATTAACATTGACTGCTGTATTTGGTGGCTTCATTCAATAATTTTGTTCTTCAGGGCTAGAAATAAACTTTTTTAATGTTTGTTTTTCCCTTTCCTAAACTTCTATTTTTCTTTTTTGATCAGAATAATGAAAAGGGTACATGTTTAAAAAAGATAATAGAGCTGGGCATGGTGGTGCATGCCTGTAATCGCAGCACTTGGGAGGCTGCGGCAGGAGGATCACCATGAGTGCCAGGCCAGCCTAGGCTATGTACTGAGTTCAAGGCCAACCTGAATTACACAGTGAGACCCTGTTTTAGTCTATCAATAAAAAGGATAATAGGTTTTCAAAAAGCATGCAGCATTTTTAAAGGATAAATGTTGTTAAGTTGGGGGCAGAGTACCTTTTTTGAATGTATTACAGTGTAAAGCTTCTGATTAGATTTCTAAAAAGTTGGGGGTAGCAAGCATGACCCTTTCCTCCTTTTGTGTTTTCTTTATTTTCCTTGCAGTACTGGAGATTGAACCCAGGGCCTTAACTACATCCTCAGCCTTTTATAAATTTTCAAATTTTGAGACCGGATCTCATTAAATCATCAAGTTGCCCAGGCTAGACTAGAACTTACGATCCTTGCCTCAGCTTCAAAGAGTACGGGCATTACAGGCATGCAGCACTATGCCTGGCTGACCCTTCCCTCTTGTAAATCAGGTTCTGAATAAACTACTTACAAATACTCCTGGCTCTCAGGTACAGGGAAACACTTTTTTTTTTTTTTTTGGGTCTTTTTGAGACAGAGTCTTGCTATGCAGTTTAAGCTGGCTGGCTGAACTCACTTTGTAGCCCAGGGTGGTCTTGAACTCACAATGATCCTCTTGCCTCAGCTTCCTAAGTGCTGGGATTACAGGAGTGCACCACCATACCCAGCTCCAGGGAAACACTTCTGATCTGTTTGAATGTTTCAGCAACTAATGCTTACCTGGCCAAGGTAATAGAAATCTAGCCAGAATTTCTGCATTCATTGTACCAAGAAATCCTTTGGAGTGCAGTGCTTGAGGTGGGCACAGTGTCACTCACCTATAATCTCAGCTATCTGAGAGGCTGAGGCAGGAGGATCACAAATTTGCGGCAGCCTGGGCCACCTAGGGAAACCCATACCAAAGTAAAAAAATTTTAAAGGAATACATACTATTTTGAGACATCACTGTATTATACAGTTTTAGGCTGGGATGAGAGGTGTAGGCAGTGACTGGGTAGGATGTAGTTGTTAAACTACTAAGCTGCTTAGTCCTGTTCTGATGTAAGTAATTATATAACATTTATTGTGTATCACAGGTGCATACATAATTGCACTCTGTTGAGCTGGGCCTTGAACACTTGATTTGTGATCCTTCTGCTTTCAACCTCTCCAGCAACTGGGACCGCAAGCATGCACCACCATATCTGGCTTATATTTATTTCATTACAGCAAGTGGTCAAAGCATTTGCTTAAGAAAGGTTCAAAAATGCCTGTGAGTGGTATGAGGAGCTTAGGTTTCTAAGGCTCAGTGCACATATGACAACTCCCTTAATGTTGGTGGCTTTTTTAAAATTAGGGCACTTTCATGTTAATTATTTAGGAGGAGTGGAACAGTGAAGGAAAACACCTGTCACCTTGTGTTAGGATTGTCCGCCCTCTCTCTGATTTTTTTTTTTTTTCCTGATCTTTCCTTGAAACTGGAGCAGTTTGTCATTGAGTCCAGGCACTTCTCATACAACTCTCTGCTTTTCTTGCTGATTTTGTTGTCTTTTTGTTTACTGTGAAAGTTGCTCTGTTCCTCTCACTAGATTGTCCAAAGCTCACTAAAAAATGCAAAAACCCTGTAGTTCCTGTAGAGTTAATCTACTCCACTAGTAACAGCTCCTTTGAGGATCCTGGAGTCGGGCTGGGGCTGCAGGTCAGACTGTTCCTCTCCAGGCAGTCTGCACCTTGGTGTCTGAGGTTGAGCTTCACCTGTCTCCTGAGTTCCTTTCTTTGGTTTCCTGGTTGTATCTCATGCTTGGGTTAGTCCCAGTTTCAGAGAAGTGTGCTTCTACAAGCTTCCTGAGAAAAAGGTACAAGACCAGGGAAGTAGAAATGTGAAGAATTTGCATATATGAGAATGCCCCACGTATAACTGCTCATACAGGAACACCTGTAGGTGTTCCACCTAGGTTGGAACACCTTTGAGAATGTTGAAGTCAATGCTTGGTTGTCCTAGAGCCTTTTACTACTGTTACTTTTCTCATTGTTAAGACAGCATACCCAACACCCACAAGTTAAAGGATGAAAGGTTTATTTTAGCTCACAGTTTATAGAGGTTTCAGTTCATTGCTGGCTTCAGGGCAGGGTGGCACTGCAGAGGAGAAACAGTTCATGGTGTGGCAGGGCAGCAGAAGGCAGCAAAGTGGAGAAGCAGCAACAGTAGCAGCAGCAAGCTCTGCTTCCCCCTCCCCTTTTTATCCCTTTGAGGCTATCTGCCATACCCAAGGTGGGCCTTCCCATTACTGTACCCAGAACTGTGCCAGATTATCAGTGGACTAATTTAGTAATCACACACCCTTAATCCCAGCATCACATTCCCTCGATCCAGCCACCTCCCCAAACTCCCAGCTATGAGTGCATGAGGCTTTAGAGGGATAACTAGTCACAAGCTGTAACATCCTAGTAGGTCTTTATTTAGGGCCCAATTTTCTGTCTGTCTGGAACTGTCACCCTGAAACGTTGACTTGTGTACCTTTAGTTCTGAGAAATTACATTTCTTAGAAAACTGCCTCTAGCTGGGCATGGTGGCGCACACCTATAATGCCAGCACTTGGGAGGCTGAGGCAGGAGGGTCATTGTGAGTTTGAGACCAGCCTGGGCTACAAAGTGAGCTCAAGGCCAACCTGAACTGTATAGCAAGACCCTGCCTCGAAAAGACGAAAAAAAACAAACCAAAAAAAAAAAAACTGCCTCTTGGTCCCCTCCCCCATCGTTGCTTTCTGGAAATCTCACATTAATCTTTATTTTTTATTCTCTCTTGCTTTTCTTCCTTTTTTGGTTTAGAGACAGGGTTTTGCTATGTAGTTCAGGCTGACCTTGAACACACAGAAGCCAAGGCTGGCCTCACACTGTGATTCTCCTGCCTCAGCCTCTCAAGTGCTGGAATTACAGGCATGCACCACCACACCCAAGCCTCTTGTTTTTCAGTTCTTTTGCATCTTGTTTTTACCTTTCTGGGAAGTTTTTGTTATATTACTGTCCGTTCCATTTTGAACATACATTGACTACCATATTTTATAGCCTGTTTTTGCTTTCTGAGTTTCCTTTCTGTGGCCTTTTCTTCATAAACACAATGTATGCACAAGGCCCTGGGTTTGATCCCCAGTACCATCACCAAATAAAAATATATCCCTGTCTATCTATATATATACACACACACATATATATATATAAAATGTATTTCCTGCTGTGTTCATTATAAAGAATGTGTCTTTAGTGTACATGGCTGTAATCCTAGCAATCTGGGAGGCTGAAGCAGGAGAATCCTAGGTTTGAGCGCAGCCTGAGCAGTTTAACCAAAAACCCTATCTAGGGGCCAGGGACAGCTCAGCGGCACAAACGCCTGCGTGGCAAGCACAAGATCCTGAGTTCAATTCCCAGTACAAAAAAAAAAAAAAAAGCCCTATCTCAAAATACAAAAGGACTGGGGATGTAGTTCCGTGTGAAGGCTCTGGGTTCAATCTTCGTGCCACCACCACAAACCACAAAAAAAAAAAAGTCTTTAGTTCAGGTGTCCACAAC